CGAGGTGACGCTGCAAAACATCCCTATCACTCACGACGAACCTGCAGAACGACATCAGGCATTCGATCGATCGATGACACGTAAATTTCCTGCGAACCATTTTCGTTAGCCTCAAAGGCAAAAGCGTCACTCCGGTCGTAACGAAGGTAGCGAATCTTACCGAGTGCGAACAGCGAAAGTCGTCGATCTGTGGGGAGGCAACGCACTTAGCGCCTCAGAACACGAATCGATCAATTATGCATTCTTTCAGTGAAAAGACCAGTGCCGAGAAAAGCGTTAATCAAAGGATTATAGGACCAAGGTAGGACTAGACTTCCGTTTAGCACAGCTGAAAGCGTCGGATTCGAATCTATGCAGGGAATAAACTTACCGCTTTAACGACTATAGCTTTACAATGGTAAGGAATTTACGCTACTGTTCTTCGGTGCACACAGCTGAACAACTGGCGACAAGTTCAGAACACGAAGGATAAAGACCTCTATGCCTGAGCGCTTAGGACTATACGCGATCGTGCATGCCGATGCCGTGCTTCAGATGACTCACATGACTACCACACACCTCGACCGACCTCGCCGCTCACCACCATCAGCATAGCCAGGAAAAGAACCGCACATTATAAAATGCCATTTAAGTTCTGTTAGCCTTAGATGACAATAACAAAACAACATTTGAATAAATTTCCGCGGGATGTCAGCCGAGTCGAATCCACCACCTTCGCTTTACAGTGTGGTTAACGATAGCCGGTCTCGCACATTCGAAATATATTTTAGATGCGTTACTTGAACGGCAGTGTGCCGCTTTCTGACGCTTTCCGAAGAATCGTACGGTCGCAATCGAGAGGCACCTTGCATGGCGTTCAGACCATTCCACAGTACGAAATGAAAACTGCCGTCCGAATGAACATGAACAGAGGATTGTCAGCTGCACTGGCTATGACTGACAATGAGAGAAAACTGGTATGGGTTTGTCAAAAAAGAGCGAGCCTCGGCAGCTTTTAAAGTTCCTAAAGTTTTCCAGAGGTGGGGAGGGGAGATGAGATTCACTAAAACGTAGGCTGGTACGAAGTTACCGAAAATTCATTTTATACTAATGCATAAAACGGAAAATGCTAATTAGAAAATTGTCTTCCATGTCCCCAACCCCCTTCGATGAAGACCTTCTTGACATGTAATAAGCGGGCGGCCGCATGTACTTGCCAAACTTACAAGTAGATTAAGGGTACTGAGGCAAAGGTAGAAGCTCTCCGTGAGTTACCAAAAACTAACGAAGAGGCAAAGGATTCTGAACAGCTGACTGATGAGGTAAGTAACTCAAAATAAACGACGACCGAGCCACCTGAAGAGCGTAGCCATCTGAACCTAGTCTTGGTAATGAATAATCTTTACGCTTTTTCTAGTGTTTAATGAAAACGTCATAAATCCAAAAGCGTCGATGCTGAAGAAGCTGACGAGCTTCGTAAATCTGAAACTGTATGCAGATCTGGTCTGTTGGTACCAACGTAAACAAAACAGCATGAAAGTATGTGCGTTTCGGCTGCGGGAAACTCTCAGGCTTTACAGTGACCAGCTGTTTAGAATTCAACTGCGCTCAACCTCTGAACTCTTCGACGTGCAGTACCGTTTGGCACGGACACTAGCAGAGTGCAAGACCGCAACTGCTTCCATCTAGGTTTATCCCTTTGTTTGAGAGTATAGAGTGCTCCGAAAGAAAAGTTTAAGGATGTCGAAACAGCATTTCATTTAATATTTTCTCATCTGTTTTCCTCGGAATATCTCGAAGACATCTAGATCACTAGGAATTAGAACAGCGGTTTTCTTCAATCATAACAGACCACGTATATACCGGCATATTCTTAATTTTGCGATTATTCCAATATTTGGGAAAGTGTCCTTGGGTCTTGCACCTTGTGCTGAGTATTGAGCTAGACGGTCAGCTACCAGGTCGGTTAAGGCGTACTGAAGCTATAAGACGCCCGCATCAGACACCATAGTAGTACGTCTTGCCCAAATCCGCACCACCACACCAAAACACAACACCCTCCCTATCGTGCCATTCAATTCTTTGCTGGTTGCGCTGAATTACTTGCTAAAGAGTTTGTTGGTTTATCCGTTATATATATTCCTAAACTCAAATAACTCGAACTTCAATATGCAAAGTCACAAAAACATCGGAAATCTTCGAAATCATAATCGAAGGATTCTCTAAAAATCGTTCTTGCGATAATGACCAACTTAGAAACATCTCAATAATTTTGAAACATTTAAAGATGCCTGAAAAATATGCGTCTTACGGCCGAGTTTATCAAAAACCGGCTTCAATACGTACGGATTACACATACTAAGCGTGCGAATTATATTTCTGATGATTTGCAAAAGCAGATTAGAAATTCGACCGTTGAAAAATCATTGATGACCGGCAAAGCATTACTATAAATAATAAAATGGCGAAAGAATCATACGCACTATAAGTGCCCGACCTCTATAGATTCGTGACCTTTTAGGCATTGTGAAGCAGGGAGCAGTACTGTAAGTTGTGCACCTTGTGTTAGAAAATATACTTCCATATTTTAAGCTATCAACGGACTTATTGAAACCACATAGTCTGCAACACAGATCAGCTTTGACATCAATGAAATAGCATTACTTTCCTTCGTTTTCAATCGATTATCTAGAATGATGGAATGAGCCGCTTTACCTCTTTCGAGTAAGCGTGCAGAGAATGCTGAAGGTAAAGCACTCAGCAGAGGAATGAACTCACTGAAGTCTCTAGACACCACTCTAAACAGCACTGTGAGTAATAAGAACATGTCATGCCCGCTCGTAGTCGAGGAAGATTTATGCGTATGTTAGTAAACGGCTCAGTTATATTGAAAATATTCTATGCTTCACTATCAGTCTCAAGCGAGATATTCAGCACTTCTTCATTTTATCATCTTTATTGTATTCTTAATTAAATACAATACAGTTTTCACTTCGATCGATTCACATGTTAATTATGAGAAATGCTGGAAAACCAGTTTCAGGTAATATGCAACAAAAAATGCAAAAGGAGCATTGTTCAATTTCTGCTAATCCGTACCAGCAAATAACGAAAAACCTGCTTTCATAAAGTTCTTTGACACAGTCATTTTTAACTCATTTTCATAAATCTGATGAATATGAAGTTATTAACCTTAATTACGGCCTTTTATGCAATGACTGTTTAGTGCTTCCATAAGAATTTTTTATAATTAGTTGTCAAGTATTAATTATATTAGACCTCTGAATTTGTTTCAGCAAGTCACAAACAGAATAACAACGTATGAAATTTCCATTATAAACACTCTGTACAGATTTGAAGGAGAAATGTAAAGGAAGCTGACTTGATTAGGCGGACGTCTATTATAGAGAACCTGCTAGGAAAAAGAAGATTAACATTTTGTAGAGATACCGACGTTTCGAACCAAAGTCGGTCCATCGATCAGTTATTGTCATTCATCATGTCGCTACCCTAAAGACGGGGCGAGTTCGGAACGTCGGTATCTGTGTGCAGAATATTTATAAGTAAAAATGTTTTGTCCTGTGATACAGTTTGTGACCTGCTGAAATAAATTCAAACTGATGATATAATTAGTAATTAACAGCAAATTAAGAAAGCCATAATTAAGTTTTAATTAGCTTGATGTTTATCGGATTTACGAAAACGAGTTAAAAGCGAAATATTGCTTGTATGTGAACCAGTTATGCGTCGAAAAAATTTATCAAAGAAGCGTTCTATGCAATTTGCTGATACAGATTAGGCGAAATTTAATAATACTCTTTTTGTATTTCATTTTAAGTATGTGCCAAACACACGTCATCTTGGCATTCAAAACTCATGTTCCATTTCAAATGTGAGGCGTTTGAAATATAATAAATACACCATACAATAACACCATGCGTAGTTTGAAAGCATACGGCAAGAAAGCCATATTCTTGTTCCACATGTAGCGACCTGGAAACGCCTGGACGTGGCGCCAAACGTCCTCTGCCAAGCTGCTTGGTGAGTAAGCGTATGCCTCACTCTGAGGAACCACGCGCAGTCTAAGACCTCCCAAAAACCCGCCGTGGTACATCGGGTTTGTAGACGCTGGTTAAAGTCGATAAGAGGGGAAGAGGATAGGTAAAAGAGCCGCCGGTGACGACGCACAACAGGCGCTGCGTTGTCTAAGCAGGCCGTGAGCTCTGAAAGGACACCGCCCATGAAGTGGCCCCTGCTGACACCGTCGTTCCCTCTTGCCGTCCGTGCTGAGTAGTTTCGCATATGACACTTCCATTCCGACAATAGATCCGACTGCGGGCACTGCTTGTTGGAGATTATCGGCGGCGATAACGCGGTAACGGCGCAACACCTGCAAT